TAGACTTTTTTATTTTCTTTTTTGGTAAAGGCAAACAGTCATAGTGAGGTTAGCAGAAAGGAAATTGGAAGAGTTTGCTATAGTAGTGGTTGTCTTTAGGAAAAAAAAATATTTTAAAGCAAAAAGCAGATTAGATAATTAAAGGACAATTACCAAAATCATCTGGTAAATTCAGTCATAAAAATAAATTATAATCTTTAAAACCTTAGAAAGTGAAATGTTTTATAAAAAAAGTAATGATGTCAATTTGAAAATGAAACATTGTAATCCATTATAAGATTTTTGAGAAATAACTTCCACTATGCATATGAGAAACAATGCATATGAGAAACTTGTGATTGATTCCAAAGTAAAATATGGAAAACTCTCCCCACCCCCCAAACAAACCCAGAGACAAAAAACTATCCAGGCTCAGAAAATAAAGTACAAATGCCCAGAAACCTCTTTCTAGAGATAGAAATTTCAGAGAGGATGTATGATTTTTATAAAATAATACATTTTATTCAAGAATGATTAAGAAGTGCCTATTTAAAGAAATTTTATAGGATGTAATTAATTAGAAATAATCATATAAATTAAGGAATAAGGCGTATCTTATAGATTTCAGTGTAAGTTAGTAATTATTCATCTGAACAAACTTTAATCAGTTGAAACTATAACAGTCTTTAATGGATATAACTTACATGAAATTAAAAATAAAAGTATTTGATTATTTGGCAATACAGAAATGCTCCTGTGTTCAAATGACATACTGTGTAACGCTCATTGATCTTTGCTGCCATGTGCCAAGTTATGATACCAAATGATCCTAAAAATCCATTAAAAGTTCCATGAAACAGAACTAATGTATGAAGAGCAGCTTAAAACTAAAACTACCAGCTTATTGATGTTCATTTATAAATAAATCCACTGATTATAACCCCTCTTAACTAATAAACTGAATTCAAACTAACCAGCATATCTTGAAACAAAGATTCAACTTGTTATTGTACAACCCCAACATTCCAGTTCAAAAATTAAGCAAGTAGAAACAAATATAAACCACAGTACTACATCCTGCCAAGCTGGAGGGCAATTTACCTGGCACCTGTCTATCTGGATTACATTAACCTTACTGTGAGAGATACTATGATCTTAAAATTTTGTCTGAAAGTAAAATTGACATAATACATTGGTGTTGTACTTAATATTATATCTAAAAAGAGAAAACTAAAAACAGGAAAGGAGGCAATGATAAAACGTTTCATTTCATTTGTCTGACCATCAAACATACAACTTTTACATCACAGTTATTACTGACCTTCCAGTAGTAAAAACAGTATAGTAATAATTATACGTACTCCCTAATTATAGCCATTCTTTCACTTACTATGTCATTTATAAATCTTCTACACCACCATTTTTTTGAAAATTAAAAATGGCATTTTAAATAAAATCATAGTTAAACAGTGTGGGGCTTTCAATATTAGTGGTATCAAAACCACTAACCACATATCGAACTGACAAGATTATTTGGATAGTGAGGCCAGTCACAAACTGCTATGATTTTAATTCATACAAGAACTATTTTTATGTTTTAAAAATTATAGTGACTCTGCTACCAAAGATACCAAAAGAATGAAAAAATGTTTATGTTAAAAATCAGAACACACCTGCAATATTTAGTTCAAAAGCACTTGCAAAAGAGAATTTGAACAACAAAGTGCTACTAAGTAGTGATATGAATTTCCTGAATTCAATGTTTTCCCGGCATGACTTAGCAATGACTTCAGTGTCAGAGATGTGATACAATGAGTTGACACTGATGTCTGTTAATATGACCTTGAGTCTTCAATTAAAGAGCGAAACACTGTTTAAAAATCTAGTTCATAAAATCACCTTGTCATTAACATAAACTTTTATTGGGTTTAGGTTAGAAGTACCACTAAATAACATTTTCTAAAAAGTTCTCACTTGTTTACATTGAGAATAATTATGAAGGATTTTTAACTGAATGCACTTACCAGAAAAATGAACAGCACGGCAGCTGTTCTGAAGAAGTGCCAGTCCATGGCTGCTGGGTTTCCTTACATCCAAGACCAAGGGAATTTTGTTTGTTCTTCTCTGTTCTTTTTCTTTCTCCCACTCAGCTGGTGTCTGATTAAAATAATTTCTCAGTAGATGTTCTTACATGCAGGCTTTGAGGTGTTTCTGCCTTCCTCTGGGAGAAGGATTGAAGGTACGTATAACCAGTCTGGGTCCCCTCCCTAAAAACTTGGGCTGGTCTCATTGAAATGCTTGACAAGATCATCATTGCTCCCAGGTAAAAGCTTAGGGACACACCCTTCTCCCAGCTGAAAAGCAGCTCTCTATGGGTCAAGAAAGATTCACTTCTTCTCTGAAGGTTTCAGTGGTAAGCACTGAAAGTGACTAAATACGTGGAGGGTTAGGCAATTGATAGGGGCTTCTCACCCATGCTTTATTTACAGCTTGTTCATCTTCTCCTCTATTAAAAAGGGAAGTATATGGGGTGCTCATATTATTCAAAGGATTATCCAGCTCATGTTCATAGCCAAATCCTCAGGACACAGTAGAAAATTAAGAACTTTCCATTTCAGTAGATGTTAGGACAGATTCGATTATTTTCTAAATTATTAACAGAAAGAAAATCTGCTAATGTTGAGAATGAGGATTTTTTTAAAAGCATTAATTCAAACAAGCAAAACTATGATACTTACAATTATTAGGTCTTCTGCACAAGTCCCTTTAAGTGACCAGCCTAAGTTCATTAAGCTCTCTGTTTTCTCTCTAAATAAATATTTTCTCTCCCCAATAGTTTTTTTTTTCTTTAAGATTCTATCCTTTTCAAATGCAATAAAACAAAATTTAAAATATGAGTAAGCTAGATTAAAAGTAAACAATGAAAACCACCAATTAAAATCCTGTTGATAATTTTTAAAATGAGGTTCAGTGACCCTGAAACACTAATGGAAGCACAGAAAGTTGTTCTTCAGGTAAGGTGAGTAAAAAGTCAATGACAATTCCCAAGCCCAGAGCCAAGAATCTGTGCAGTGAGCCAATTAGAACATAGGGAATACACAAAAGAAATGCTGCCCACATATGCAGCGGGAATCTGAATGGAGCCCTGAAGTTAGCAACCCTCACAAGGCAGTGTTTGAATGTATTCTTGGGATATCTTCTCTTTACCTGGCAATGTCTAGTATAAATATTGTGAATGGCAGGAAGCCTATAGATGTGTTCAGAGTTTGAAATGGCAGTCTGGAACAAGAGACCTGTTGATATGATGATGATTGTAGTCAAAGGGATGCTAAAAATGTTCCCCAAAGGAAAAACATCTCTGAGTCTCAGAGGGTCTATGGAATGCTTTCATTTCACTACAAATGTGTGGCAAAGAAGGTTACTCAATAGTAATTTGAAATTTCATGCTATTCATCATAGAGCATAGAGGGAAGTAGATAGGCTGCCTATGTTTACTTGCAGTGAATAAAATGCTTGTGAAAGGAATTTGTTGATGTGAGTGAATAAAATAAAAAGAGATGGGCAGGTTGAATTTCTCATTAGTCAAGCAAAATTTGAATAGAATGTGACTGCCCACTTATGACTTCATCCGAGCAATGAGCAATATATTGGTAGTAGGATTGTATGACCATGAGTGACAGACCAGTTGGGAACCAGAGAAAAAAGAAACTACTCTTGCAGCTTTCCAGTGGCAAGAGAATGTTTTATCCTCCCTGGATTCGGGGCATGAAGCTCAGGCTTGCACTTTTCATCCATTGAATTACCCATCCCTAAGCCCAACCCAGGCTCCACCCCTAACTCAATGCCCTGCTCCAACAATCCCAACCAACTGGAAGATTCATAAGGCAGCAACGTCTCCAGGAGCTTTCTGGAGAGGTGGTGTGGCGAAACCCCAAAGTTATACAGCAGTGGCTGTCTTGACAGTCTCATGAGAGCTAGTGATGTTAAGCACAGTGGGAGAGGGAGTTTGTGAATCACTCTCCTCCTTTGCCTCTTTGTCTGCCATTTTTCTCTTTCTTGCTCATTTTAATGTTCTTAGAACAGCACCATCCAATAGAACTTTCTGCAATGTGGAAATGTTCTCTGTCTGTGCTGTACAGCTTGGTAGGCACTTACTATATATGGCTACTGAGCATTTGAAATGTGACTATTATGGGCCAGCCGGTGGTGCACTGCTACAGTGCGCCGCTTGGGAGTGCGGAGGCGCTCCCGCCGAG